TTACATGTCAGATTCTGTCAAACTTCCACCTTGGGCTGAAAACCCAATTGATTTCATCCATAAGCATCGGAAGGCTCTTGAAAGTGAGCATGTATCTGCACATTTGCATGAATGGATTGATCTCATATTCGGGTAGGTTTCTGTTTGGAGATTTATTTTTACCAAAATTATTTATAAATTATTTGTTTTCTTCACCTTGTTTAGTTTTACCTTTTTTGTCATCTTTTATAAGTTGGTGACAACTCTAGAATTTGTCTGTATATATCAACTTTGAGAGTTTTCTTTTTGAAACTATTATTTTCATTAATGAATTGGAATATTCAGGTATAAGCAACGTGGCAAAGAAGCTATAGTGGCAAATAATGTCTTCTTTTACATTACCTATGAAGGGACTGTTGATATTGATAAGATCTCAGACCCAGTAAGTCTAGTTTCCTTTGGCATCTGTTTGATTTTATCCATAATTGGTTGATTCATAATTTCCTTTTCCCTCAATCTGCCAAAACAGGTACAACAGCGTGCAACACAGGACCAGATTGCATACTTTGGGCAAACACCATCCCAACTGCTTACGATTCCTCACTTGAAGAAGCTGCCGTTGGCAGATGTTCTTCATTTGCAGGTAACTTTATCTTGTGAAAAACAAGAAACTTAACTGAATAATACATCTGTCACTGTATAATACATTTTGGATAACTGATACGGATTTGATTTTTTTATGAAAATATTTCTGGTATTGGATTATCATGCATTACGAGTAGATTTCCTTTATATGAAACATTTTCGTGATTGATTTTTGGATGTCAGACTATCTTTCGAAACCCAAAAGAAGTCAAACCATATGCTGTTACTGCTCCTGAGCGCTGCAATCTTCCTGCAGCAGCCATTCATGCTTCGTCAGATGCTGTCATTATTGCTAATATAAATGCACCAGCAGCAAATGTTGCAGAGCACAAGTGGCAGCCAAACACACCCGATGGCCAGGGTATGCCTTTCCTCTTTCAACATGGAAAGGCTACAGCAAGCTCCACTGGTGGAACATTTATCCGTATGTTCAAAGGGCCAGCTGGATCTGGTTCTGATGAATGGCATTTTCCCCAAGCGCTGGCATTTGCTACATCTGGAATTACAAGCTCAGCTATAGTATCCATAACATGTGATAAAGAAATAATCACTGGTATGTGTTCACTTCCTTACCTCAGTTCCCTCTGCTTTGTGCTATTATGTAAAAAGTATTTTGTTAATGTTTGATAATATTTATGTTTTTGGTTTTTAGTTTTTTTTGTCTCCTTTTCAAAATTAAAGAGGGAAAATATGTCCCAGAGGCTAGAGGATTTGTTGTAGATCTCAGTCGTGATAAATAATGAGAGAGAATATATAAAACCAAAACTGTTTTAAAAAAATTTGGTTTTCTAGTTTATATTTTATGAATCATTCTCTATACATTTTCTCGTCCCTCCCTCACATCTATCATATATCATCTCTCTTCTCACTATTCTCTCATTTTTCCTTCTCTAATTTAAAATAAAAACCAAAATAAAAAATGTTACCAAATAGGTGATTAGCAATTTAGAGTAAGATTAAAGCAATAAAATGATGGAAGTACAAGATAAATTAATAGGAAACCTTATCATAACTTTGTGTTAATAGCAAACTTTGACTGTGGAACAATTTTCTTCTGGGTATTTGCATTTTATTATGACAACATTATTCCTCCATTTATGCATCATTTTAAAATGTTTTATGTATAACTGCAGGTGGTAGAGCCTTTGCCATTCAATAAATGTGTGAATTTATTTTTTAATATAGTCAATAGTCTGTTTGATGTTAGAGAATATGAGGGCACTTGCTTGAAGACGCGACTAAGGAAATTTGGAATTTTCCCTTCTCATTTGTGTGCTCGTGTGTTTTTTAAATTGACAGTTATTCAACCTATGCAGTATGTAAAAAGCTGTCAGTGTTCCTAATAATACAAATGATAAACCAGTGTTAAGTTTTTACCTCATTTTGTTTATTCAGAAAATATCATGTGATACTATTTGGCTCGTAACTAGCTGGGCATGTATTATATCTTGTTTTAACTGTCTCATATCATTTTTAAATAAATTGGAATCTGAGTGCTAGTTTCTGGCTTGTAACTAGGTGGGCATGTAGATAACAGTATCAAGATAATATCATCAGATGGAGCAAAAACATTAGAGACAGCCTTTGGCCATTGTGCTCCAGTGACTTGCCTTGGACTTTCACCTGATAGCAACTACCTTGTGACAGGATCCCGAGACACCACTGTTTTACTTTGGAGAATACATAGGGCATTTACCTCTCGCTCTAGTGGTGTATCAGAGCCTTCCGGTGGGACAGATATACCGCGCACAACCAGTGGTAGTAATTTATCACACATATTAGCAGACAAAAGCAGGAGGCGTCGTATTGAAGGTCCCATACATGTTCTTCGAGGCCACCAGAGGGAAATACTCTGTTGTTGTGTCAGCTCAGATCTTGGCATTGTTGTTTCATGCTCCGATTCATCAGATGTTCTCTTGCACTCTATAAGAAGAGGTCGGTTGATCAGAAGGCTACCTGGTGTGGAGGCGCATGCTGTCTGCCTATCATCTGAGGGAATTGTATTGACTTGGAATAAAACACTCAATACTCTGAATACCTTTACTCTTAATGGGGTTCTGATTGGCAGAGCTCAGATACCTTTCTCTGGTAGCATCAGTTGTATGGAAATTTCTGTTGATGGATGGAGTGCTTTGATTGGAATAAACTCATCTATGGAAATTGATAGAGGCAGCTGGGATTTGAAATTGAATAACACAGAATTTGGGGATCTTAACCAGGAGCCAGATAAAACTGACGAAAACAACAGATTGGACATTACATTGCCTTCAATTTGCTTTCTGGATCTTCATACACTAAAGGTATGAGAAATGCAAATTAGGCTGCTTTTCCTTCTAGGTTAGCCATATGTTTTTCTTTGACTTTTTTGTTGGTTAAATTTCCTACGTTGGAACAATCTGCCTTGTTTGACAATTGGGGATCTTGTTTTCCACATGATAAAAAATTCTGTAATAGGGGCTTTCATTCGTTCTTGTCTTTTCTGATGTGTCTTCCTGGGTTGGATCATACCCATTTGATGTAATGCATGTCTGGTTTCGTAAGTGAACTGGTTCCTATCTTGTTAACAAGCCTGTGGTACTTTCCGCTGCAGGTTTTTCATGTATTGAAGTTGGGAGAAGGACAGGATATCATATCTCTAGCACTAAACGCAGATAACACAAACCTTTTGGTGTCAACTGCAGATAAACAGTTGATAATTTTCACGGATCCTGCTGTAAGTCAAAAATTTGTTTTCCTCATTTAATTTTTATTAGAGTTGATTTTGTGATTTTATCCAACTTGATACTGGGATTCCAGTCTGGTTGGAGGAACCTTCTCTGACTTTAATGTGCGTAATAATTATAAAATTCACTTTCCTATAACATTGTAAATCTGCTGCTTATTGCTTGCAGTTGAGCTTGAAAGTGGTGGATCACATGCTCAAGCTTGGTTGGGAAGGCGATGGGCTAAGTCCCCTCATTAAATCATAGTTTTAGGACATACTGGAAAAGGATACAGAAATACCCAATACAAGTTACCACCAAGGCAAGAACTGCAAGGGCATGCCAGCGGCCCCCCCTGTTTTGTTAATCGAGCCAATTCATTCAGTTTTGAGCTGTGTTTTGAGTGTAACATATGTGTATTAGGTAAGCAGAACCCTATCTTTATACCTAGAGTTACAGGTTATTAGAGTTGCTGCGAGGGTTTTTTTGACTCAATTCGGTTGTAAGTATGTACATTGAGATGATGAGTTCAAGTCTATTGGGGCCTCGAGCTGTTCATTTTTGTCCATTGATTTTTTATATATTAATTTTAGTGAATGGAAATATAGAAGCTATTCATTCTTGTAAAGTACTGGATTTGGCTGCCAGGACTGTTCATGAAGAGCGATTGATTGAAACTTGGTTTTCTTGTGCCAAACTGAACTGAATCAGTCGAAATTTCCACTGGAAGTAGTTGTTACGTTATTATGGTTTACAATTTGTCTGCATTTTTATCCCAACCCCAAATTTAAGTTATTATTTTGTCTACTTAAGATGATACAAGACTTTTTCAGACCCAAAAAAAGAAAAAAAGAAAAAAAAAGATGATACAGGAATTCCTTATGTAACAAATTGACAAAATCAATCTTAAAGTTACAAATTGTTACACGACCGCACATGACACTGGTGAGCCTAATTTCTGTTCACAATGGATGCTAATTGATGCTATGCAAAAATAGGTGTCTTGTTCTGCCAACATGAGTGCTCAACCGAGTTATACCCATTAGCGTTGTCCACATATATTAGTTTCCTGTATTTAAAAAGCCTCAAACCTTTAAGATATAGAGTTGAAAAATTGCCTACGCTACACATCATCAATTTAGTGTAAATATAAGTGAAAATAAGGTCACCCACTTGAAAAAAATAGTGATTAGTTTCAATATAGTGTAACAATCCGTAACTTCAAGTTGTTTGCTAAGTTTTAAAAGAAAGTTTTTGGGTGACTGATACTAATTAAATTACATGAGTGCTAATTGTAATCGACACTGTTAAAATTTTTGGAAAATTCACACTAATAGTATGGTACCCATATTACAATTTTTTTTCTCTCTATAAAACTACCTAAGAGCAAGTTTGGGGTTGTCATTTTTTATTTTTCTTGAAAAATAAATTAATAAATTAAAGCTAAAATTAGGACTTGGGATTAGAGGGTATTTTGGTGAATATTTATGAAAGATGAGCTGAGATTTTATATTTCCTTGAAATAATTTTTACCGGGTCAAGAAAAGAGAAGATAGGTAGGAGGATGGGCCTCAAATAAGCCCAAAAAGCCACAGCCACCTAATTGCAGTGATTTAGGGTTTACAGAGAGAAAAAGAGAGAGAGAGAGAGAGAGAGAGAGAGAGAGAGAGAGAGATGGGAGGAAAAGGAAGGAGACGAAGAGAGAAGAACTACAATGCAGCGCACGGAGGCTACACAAGGCTGCCGCCACCACCTGATTATTCCCAAGCCGACGCTTTGCCCTCTAAACTTCGCAAACTCCTCGCCTTCACTAAATCTCATGACCCTCAAGGTTTCTTCTTCACTTTTTGTTTGGTTTTTTCAAAAGAAAAATATTTTTACTTAGTTTTCTCCCTATTTAAACTTACTGTTGTCAATTGTTTGTTATCAATGGGTTTCAGACTCTTCTTTCAAGGTCGCAAAAGCTGCTGAACGAAAACAGAGGGAAAATGGAGTTGATGCTGCTGAACCAGTAAGTGCTTGCCTTGTCGTTGCACTTATGTTACAAAAGTTATATATGCATATGTTTATGAAATTGGGGGTTTTGGGTTTTGGCTTCTGGTTTGGTTTGGACAGTTTGATAATTGCAATTCAATGTCATTGAGGCTTAGTTTAATTATTACTGATAATTGCTCACATGGAATTTGAGTTGGTGACATTGGCATGTTGTATAACAAAGTAAAAAAACAATGGTTATGTGAACAGAAACCCACGGATGAAGTGGACTTCGAGACTGGTTTTGAAGATGAGGGTGATGCTGAGAATTTGGAACCTCAACATACAGATGAGAAGAGAAAGAAGAAAAGAAAGAGAAAGCAAGCGCATGACCTTCGGTTTGAAACAGAAGCATCGAAGCAATCAGAAACTCGTCTAAAAAGAAAGGAGCGCAAGAAAAAGTACGTATTTTAACACCTTTTTCGAATGAAAGTATTGAATGTTTAGCTTCCTGGAAGTGGAATGCTGCATGGATAATATAGCAGGGTCAGAATGACTGCCTTATGTTCTTGTATCAGAATGCTTGTAAATGAATCATCTGGAAAAGTGAACAAATTGCAATTTTCTTGGGTTATTGTATCATTGCGGTGATCAAATGAATCAAGCTTACCCATCTTCTACTGATTGGTAACAACTGACAAGCTTTTTATAATCAGGTACTTGGAAGCAAAGAAAAACAAAAAGAAAAAGGGCAAGAAAGAAGAGAATATAGACTTTCCTGGACGTGAGGAAATCAAATTTGGAGACGTAGTTCAAGCTCCTCCAAAGTTGGTTGTGCCGAAGGTAGCAAAATACATTCTTTATGATACAGTACAGATTAAAGTTCTTCAGTTTAATTATAAACTTCCCCTGTTTTGTGAAGGCATTGAAGAATGTACAAGATGCTTCTAAGGAGAGGGTTCGAGTCAAGGCAATCGAGGCGTATAGGCAACGGAAAGGATGGAATGCAAGGCCAGGAATTCAGCTTCCTCCGCCTGTGACCTCAACAGCATTGTAATTGGTGAAACCATTATGGATACATGTCTTGAAGTTTGTGACTCTATATCAGGGGGTACTATGCCTCTGCAATTTTGTAATTTATGCAGCGAGTTCATTTGCTACAGTCTAGGAATTTGTAAGTGCTGGTTAAATTTGTAATGTATGGAAAGAGGATGGAGTATTTTTGTTGTTGATATCTTTGAAGCTCTTTGTTGAATTCAGTTTGACCCAGTTTTCTAGGATACATGATCAGTATCATACCAAGGCAAATGACTAAAATCAGAAATTCCTGAAAAAGTTGTTTATTGATTATAACTTGTTTGTATATAGGGTCATTTATAGTGGAACATTTGCATTGTGAATCTATTATCAAAATACTAATAAAAATAGTCTTAAATTCTAGGTCAATCCTTTCAAGGGACATGTTGTGGGTTGCCTTTGAAGTATAAATGATGTTACATAATTTGTGACATTACAAATCTAAATTATCTGTGGAAGGCACGAACTTCCAGACCCCCGAGAATGTGAAGATTAATCATTGTCCTGTAAGTGACAACTTTGTTCTCATCACTTATTTTGAACATAAAACAGCTTAACAAAACGGCTGAGAAGATCTTCATTTGTCTATAAGCAAACTCCTTTCCAAGACATATTCGCGGTCCGGCCTGTCAACCATCACATACATTATACAAAGAAATTTGGGACATTTTGGTTGCTTCAGTGATGAAGTTAACCAGAAGAGTTAGATATGTCTAGGATAAAGATGAGCTTCAAAAGCAAAACCTGAAAGGCTGAAAACTTGAAAGGGCTCTCTGGCTGGAAGACCCCATTCTCGTTGAGCCATCTCTCCGGCCTGAACTTTTCTGCATCATCTCCCCATATGACTTTCATCCTGCCCATTGCATAAGGTTGGTATGCTATCATATCTCCTTTCCTCAGACTGTACCCATCTGGCAGAGTATCATCAGAAAAGCATATCTTTGCATCCTGCAATCAAAGCAGAATGGATGTTTGAAATGTTGGGAAGTAAAAAAAAACTTTTCCAGGATATCACACTAAAGTAGAAATTCATTGCAGCTAGAAAGCAAAGTAATAAGAACACAACACAAGGTTTTATGTAGTTAGTCCTTTGATTTTTATATTCTTTGCCTATGGGACGAGATGAAGAGAAAATTCATTATAATTTTCCTTACCACTGGAACTGCAGGATAGATTCTGAGAGTTTCAGTGATTGCAGCATGGAGATACTGCATCTTTTCCAGAGTATCTTCACTCACACCAGATGCAAACTCGGAAAAGTTGGTGATCTTTTTCATGCCGGTTACTTGCTTCACTTCTTGTACAATTTTTTCTTGTACAGAAGGATGCTTGCACAGAAGGTAAAAGAACCACGCAAGTGTGGTTGCTGTTGTGTCTTTACCAGCTATAATGAAATTGAGAATTATATCTCGCAAGTACATGGGATCAGTCCCAGTCACTTGCAAAAACCTTGATAAAATGTCTTCTCTGTCCACCTGCATCAAGTGTAAAACAAGTTTGTATCATGGTTCTAAACTGAATCAGAGACAAACTTGTAGGTAAGTGTCACTCACAGTGGCCGGACCGTTATCCTTTTTCTGCATTTGCTCAATTTTGTTGTGGATTAGCTTAAACACAAAATCATTAACAATTTTGGTATTTTTCCTTAAGGCAGCTTCTGATCCCAAGTTGAGAAACTTCTTGATCCTCCAGAAAACATCAACGTAACGCCAGAGGGTCAATGCGCTTGAATTATCAAAAGCATCACCAAAACTTTTGCCTTCTTCATTTGATCCACACATGTTGTCTAATTCAGTACCAAATGCTACTTGGAAAATTGAGTCCAAGGATGATTTCATAAATAGATCCTACATTAATACCATAGCTAGTTGATTAGGATCATCAAATTGGCTTGGTTTCTTTTTGAATAAATGAGTGCAAACTCACTTGAATATCAATTGCCTGGTTGGAAGTTGCGATTTCCGACACCTTATCAGCAAGTTTTGCTGCATTTTTCCGGAATATTACACTGCTGAAATCCCTCAACACCTTCGTCGAAAACTCATGGCTCGATATCTTTCTCTGCTGGCGCCACTTTTCACCATCAACTGCAAAAATTCCATCACCCAGAAGATCCTTCAGAATATTGTAGTTATAACATCCCTGCACAAGAGCAAGTTAGACCCTGCCTTAATACCAAGAATTCACCTGAGTCCAAAAAAAAAGAAAAAAAAATCACCAAAAATTCAAAACTTAGGTTCCATCCTGATGGCATTCAAGATAACTTGTCCTGGGCTCCTAGCAAGATTGTGATCTTATCATAAAATTATCAGCTTTAATCCTTAATATCTCGACAGTAACTTTACACAAGAACAGAAAAATTCGAAATGACCGTATATTGTCATTATTTCTATTTATGGGGTAGCATCTTGAAAGTCAGTTGAATCGGACCAAGGACTTGGTAGAAATATCATAATTCTTTCTGCAAAACCAGATTTGGGTGAAACTTAATTGCAACCCATGAAACTATAAACATCTTGTAACATAAGAACATCTTCCGATTGATGATTTTCTAGTTAATTAACCAGAGATGGATTTGGAAACATACCTTGCCATAGTTATCAAAGTTTGTCTTGAGTATGTACTCAACATTTGCTGGGTTGGAGGTGTAAATCTCATTCCTGAAGGGGCCAAGCAGCCTGTAAGTCTTGTGTTTCCCAGCAAGATCAGTCATGTAATCATGTAGCCTGTTGAAGTTAAGTAGCTGATGGAGCACTGTGCCAGCAATAGGTGGGTGCTTCTTCTTTGCCTTGGTGAGTTTCCTTGCAAGTATTTGGGCAGTGAAAATGGATAAGGCAAGGACCAGAGCTGTGAGGAAGACGGGGTTTGAAAGAAAGTCCATGACTGATTCAGACAGTAATCTGTAGTCTTTTTTGTTTATATTTCTCTGTTTTTATAGAGAGAAGAAAGAGTCTTTGTTAATGGTTTTTTTTTAAAACTTCTGCCAAACTTTGTTAATGGTTAACTTAATGAATAATAATATCACATTCTGTTGGTCGTTTGTGGTTGTATGCCACGTTTCGTGCATGTGGCAATTATGATGGTCCAAAATTTTAAAATAGGTTTTGCCACGTGTTGTTAGGATTGGCATTGCAAAAGTTCATGGGTCTCGTTCTAGTAGGGTGGGCATCAATATGGCCCAACCAACTACATTTGCAGATTAAAATTATTGATTTGGTTTAGTTTAGTTGTGATAAAGAAAAGTCAAACGGTTTAAAAATCAAATCAAACCATATATAATTTAGTTTTTATTTTTTATAAACTGGTCTAAATTGAATCGGAACGTATACTTGTATATATATATATATATATATATATATTTTCTTCCTTTTAAAAAAATAGGTATTAGACATAAGTAACTTTACTAATTAGTATTTGAGACGTTAGGTATTTTTATTTGGGTTTTAATACTTAGGAAATAATTGTTATTTTGGATTAGGCCAGACAGTAATCTGTAGTCTTTTTTGTTTATATTTCACTGTTTTTATAGAGAGAAGAAAGAGTCTTTGTTAATGGTTTTTTTTTTTAACTTCTGCCAAACTTTGTTAATATATATATAAAGCAAAAGGCAGAGAATGGTGAAACATTCAAAATACCAGAAAATGCCCTTTATTAATACAAACATTAAGAATTAAAATTATTAATTAAATGAAGATAATATGGTAAATTTACACTTTTTCATATTAAAAAAAATTAAAATTAAAAGAAAATTCAGATAATGAATCCTATTTTTATGGAACACAACTACCCATTATATTTTTTAATTCTAAAATAAATTTCATTTTCTTATAAAGAAGTCTCTCGCAGGCGCGGAAGTGCGCGTGCGGAGAGGCTAGTATATATAAAGCAAAAGACAAAGAATGGTGAAACATTCAAAATACCAAAAAATGCCCTTGATTAATGCAAACATTAAGAATTGAAATTATTAATTAAATGAGAATAATATGGTAAATTCATTTTTTTTTCATATTTAAAAAAAATAAAAAGAAAAATCAGATAATTGATCCTATTTTTGTGGAACACAACTACTCATAATATTTTTTTAATTCTAAAATCAATTTAAATTTTTTTAAAAAGAGCCTCTTACAGGCGCGGAAGCGCGTGCAGAGAAACTAGTGAATAATAATATCACATTCTGTTGGTCGTTTGTGGTTGTATGCCACGTTTCGTGCGTGTGGCAATTATGATGGTCCAAAATTTTAAAATAGGTTTTGCCACGAGTTGTTAGGATTGGCATTGCAAAAGTTCATGGGTCTCGATCTAGTAGGGTGGGCATCAGTATGGCCCAACCAACTACATTTGCCGATTAAAATTATAGAAAATTAGTGAAACACCCAATTCTAGACATGAAACTATAATAAAACCCTAGACTATTTAAAACATATAAACACACCCAAATTTTTTTTTTTTTTTTTTTTTTTTTTTTTTTTTTTTTTTTTTTTTTTTTTTTTTTTTTTTTTTTTTTTTTTTTTTTTTTTTTTTTTTTTTTTTTTTTTTTTTTTTTTTTTTTTTTTTTTTTTTTTTTTTTTTTTTTTTTTTTTTTTTTTTTTTTTTTTTTCCCCCCCTTTTTTTTTGGGGGGGGGGGGGGGGGGGGGGGGGGGCCCCCCCCCCCCCCCCCCAAAAAAAAAATTTTTATAAAAAAAAAAAAAAAAAAAAAAAAAAAAAAAAAAAAAAAAAAAAAAAAAAAAAAAAAAAAAAAAAAAAAAAAAAAAAAAAAAAAAAAAAAAAAAAAAAAAAAAAAAAAAAACTTATTTTCCCTTCTATTCAAAAAAAAAAACCCAAAAACCAACAGCTGTCAATTTTTGGATTTATTTTCTATGTTAGATTACGGTTTTGACCTTTTGGTCTGAATTCTTTGAAACAGGCCCAAAATTCGCCAGCTAGGATAGGAATATTTGAAAATTTACGTTGGTGACCTCATAACAGAAACCTGTTTGGCAGCCTCAGCAGATCGAATATTCCAAACGAGCTTCGTTCAGTTCTTCGAACGAAGCGAGCTTCGTTCACCTCTTCGAACGAAGCTCAGTATGATGTGGTTTCAGATCTTCTTTTTGGATTCTTCTGAGCTCAGTATGGTGTAGATTGGAGTTCTATTGCTTCAATTTTTTTGTTCTTTGCTGTTTGATTTGGTAATTTTTGGATTGATATTGCGCTGCAAGAGACTCGATTGGAGCTTGGTGCGATCTGTGATCTTCGATTTTGAGGTATTTCGATTTTTTCTTGTGAATTCATATTCGTTTTTTGAGGATTCGATTATATTGTAGTCTGATTTTTGGTGATTTCATGTTCGATTAATTAAGTTGCTGATTAGGTTTTCGTTTCTTTTTGTTTATAATTTGGATTGATTTCAGATTCGTTTTGATTGTGGATTTGCTCTTGTGTTTTGATTTGAGGTGTGGTGAAACTTTTGTGATATTCGATTTGGTTTTCATATTAATTGAGGTTTTTTCAGTTGAATCTGAGTATATTCGTGTTTTTTCTGTTTATGCACTATTGGTTTTTGAGTCGACTATAATTCACTGTTAATACCCGGCATCCACTGTTATTGCTAGTAGTCATTTTTGTTTTGTTTGTTGTTTTTTTGTATAGATATGGATGATTCGAGAGTGGCAAAGTGCACCTATGGTGGTGGAACTTTAATGCTTATTTTGTCTTCAACTACTACTTTTGATTGGCTGTCCAACGAGTTGTGTAGTAGGTTCAAGCTGAAGTTAGGTCATTTTGAGTTGAGGTACTCTTATACGGATTGCTCCAATTGTTTATTGGAATTGGATGATGATTTGAAAATCATGTTTATGGTATGTGGACTGACGAAGGATCAATTAATTCACATTGCTGTTAGGGATAAGGCTGTAGTGAATTATGTTCAAACTGTTAATACGAACATAATTGCTTCTCCTTTTTTGTTGGAGGCTGTTCCTAACAATTACAGTTTTGCAGAAGATGAGGATACATGTAAATATTCAATTCAAACTGGTAGTATTGTTGATTCAAATGCAGCTTCTTCTTCTTCTTTGAGTATGGATTTTGATGGTATTAGCAGTGAGTATGGAAATGAATATTTAGGCAAATATGGTAGTTGTGGAGGTCGTAAGTATTTGTCTACTGATTGGGAGGGTTATATTACTCATGAGGGTCAGAAGTTTGAGGGTGGAGTTTGTGAATTCCGTGATAAGTTGGCTAAGTACTCGATTGAGAATGGTTTTAAGATGAAATATTTGAAAAATGAGCCTCGTCGTGTTACTGCTGTGTGTGCTAAGAAGGAATCAAATGGCTGTGAGTGGCATGTGCATGCTGTTAAGTCGAATGTAAATGGATTTTTTTATATTAAGAACTTAAATAATGCACACAGTTGCAGTGGTTTGATCCGTGAGAAGAGAAATAAGGCAATGGGGTCTCGTTTGGTGTCTTCAATTGTCAAAGATAAGGTTCGTAGCAATCCTTTGGTAAGGCCTATTGAGCTGATTACTGATTTGAAGGAGAATTATGGATTGGATATCCCTTATCATGTTGCGTGGTATGGGAAGGAGTCGGCTACTAAGGATTTGCATGGTGATGAGGAGTTGTCTTATGCTCACCTGCCTTGGTATGTGAATGTTTTGAAGGCCAGCAATGTCGGATCTCATTGTGTGCTTGACTGTGGCGAGGATGGTTCTCGTTTCCAGCGGATCTTTATATGTTTTAAGGCCTCCATTGATGGTTTTCGGTGGTGTAGGCCTATGCTGTTCATTGATGGTACTTTCGTCACAAACAAGTACAAGGGTACTCTTCTAGGAGCTACTGCAAAGAATGGAAATAAAGGTATGTAATGTAAATGCTCTAGTTGTTGACTTCCATTGAGTGGTATGAACAGTGTAGTTATGCAAATGTAAATGCTGTAGTTGTTGACTTCCATTGAGTGGTATGAACAGTTTCTATACTGTTCATACCCTGCATCTGAGTATTTTTATGCATTGTAGTTTTACTCTGCTTTATGTGGTAACACTGTTACAGTTCAAACTAACTAATATAGTTCTCTGTTTCTTGTAGAAGTATTCCCTTTTGCCTTTGCGATTGTATCCGGTGAAACCGTGGATAATTGGAGGTGGTTTCTGCAAAGGATATCTGAAGTCTTGGTTGATGAAGGTAGGCAACTTACATTCATTTCTGATAGGCATGGTGCTATTATCGATGCTGTTAGGACTGTTTTTCCTGCTTCTCCCCATGGTTTTTGTCTATATCATTTGAAAGAGAACTTGAAAAAGAAGTATCCGCATGCTGTTGGTTCCTCTTTCAAGGATCATATTTTATGGCTTTTTTGTAAGTTGTTGTATGCACCGACTGTTGAGGAATATCAAGATACGTTGAAAAAATTAAGAGATGATGGCGGTTCAAAAATAATTGATAAGTTTTTGGCTGATCTCCCTGTCCAAAATTTTGCTAATGCATTTTTTCCGGGAAAGAGGTATGGGGAGGTTAGTAATGCCTTGTCCGAGTCTTTTAATTCATGGATTAAGGATGTGCGTAGGCTTCCAATTTATGAGATGATTGACACTGTTAGGATCAAAATGATGGAGATGATTTCTAGGAGGAAGCTTGCATCCGAGAAATGGAGTAGTGTTTTGTGTCCTGTTATTGAGGATGAGTTGAAGAATTTAGCTGCAAAGGGTCGTCATTGGAGGATATGTCGCGCGAGTGAATCTGTTTTTGAAGTTCATGCTGATTTGAGTGTTATGGTCAATTTGGACGAGAGGTTTTGCTCCTGTTATCAGTGGCAATTGCTTGGGTTTCCGTGTCAGCATGCGATTCAAGTTATCCAACATTCCGGGTTATGTTTGTACAACTTTGTGGATGAGTATTACAAGGCAGACTTTTATAAGGCTACTTATGCAACCCCTATATTTCCCATACCTGATATTGAGAAGCCTCCTCCTGCAGATGTTTTTCTTCTACCTCCTCATACAAGAAAGCCTCCGGGACGACCTCCGACAAAGCGCTTCAAGTCAAGCAGTGAAACTAAAAGGCAGGTGAAGTGCAAGAGATGCGGTTCTTGTGATCGTCATAATAGGAGGACTTGCAAGGTTCCTATTTGATGTAAAGGTTCTGAGTATAAAGACTTGAATGAGAGTAGTTAGTTTTTAACTAGTTAAAGTGCTATGTGATTGATTAATGACAATCATAGTTGAAAGGAATAGAAATTGATATGCAAGTTGTTAATACGGTGAAATAGCAGTCACTGCATATGAATACACTTTGAATTTTTGGTATTAATACATAATATTTACCATTTTTGGTATTTTGCAAATTTCGGTTTTGAAGTTTGATATGAATTAAGCATTACTGCTGTTTGAATAATCTATAAATGAACGAACACTATTTAATGCTCACTGTTCATGCCATTGTTGAAATTGAAAGATAGTTCTATGACATGGTATTAACAATTTATTTCTATCAAATAGCATTAACATTGAATTGAGAGTGCGTTGTTATTTGTTGTAGTTCACCTTTTTAGTTGTTTTAGTGCTATGGAGACCATTATTTCAGGTTACATACACTGTTAATTCACGTAAATAAACTGGTTTTTGAATAAGTACATAACTTGAATTTGAAAATCACTTTACTTCAATGTTCTAAACCTACACAAGTCCTAAGAAACTACAATATAAGCAAGAATTTTGGCAAAATATTTGATTACAACTTCATTATTTTGCATTTCTCTCTTCTCTTTCTTTGATGGAAATCCAACTTCTTTCATTGCTCATAATTTTCATGAGGACTTCTTTTCTCATTTGCCAGACCTTTTCTTTGTTGAAATCTGATTCTATTTGTTGGTCTTTGGAAAGCTGCTTCATGAAGTGCATGACAAAGACGCCACAATCATTGCTGCATAATAGAGATACGCATGCAGGAGTTATTTCAGTATTTTTTTAGTTGAATAGGATGAAAGTTTCACTGTTATTGCGTAACTTACGAATTGTTTGCTTGTTGGGGACATTCTCTGTTCTCAGTCAGCTTGAAGTTAGTAGTATCATGACAAATCAGATACTTCATTGTCTGAGCATATTCTGGTGTAAGTTCGTTGCTGGCAAGTATTTTTGTTATCATTCTAGCTGAAGCTTCATTAAGCCCTCTCGGCTTCTTGGCATCAAAATCAGGAATTTGGACGAGTTTTGTTTTCAGTGATACTGCAGCACATTCCTTAAGAAGACAGAGGAATATATTTGCTGTCTCAACCTGCATCATAGTCAAGTATGTGCTTAGTTTCCTTTAAATTTAGTGTCCTATGTATTAACAGTGTTAATCACCAGTCTTACTTACCAAAACAATTGCCTTCTTGTGATAATATTGGAGAGTTTGTTCTGATGTCCCCCTGAATGAGTTGAAGTGTGTCCATTTTGCTGCACCGGTGTCAAAGACAAGCAGCGTATGGTGGTTCTCATCTGTAATTGGTATGAACACTCTATCAACTCTTCCAATATTTTCTAGGAGTGGCATATAGAAAGCATGATATGTCAGCTTGTGTGAGGCACCTCGCAAAAACATCTGCAAAAGTCATGTGTTGGTGATTAGTGAGCATGTTGATGATATAAAATTGATGTATTAGATGTGATCTTACATAGTTATTGGCGGACAAATATGCATTTTTCTGTTTCTGAGGGTTCTGCTTCGCATCATCATTAAGTGCCTCTCCATAAGCATCGATGATTAGTGCAGAAATTGGACCATCTCCCATCAGCTTTTCAATGTTATGTTTGTACAATATTGTCCTATTTTGTAGGTAAAAAGCGTCCCTGCGACAATAATGTTGTTTAAAAATGATAATCTCATAATAGTTTAATAACAAGACAGTTCTATGACATAGTATTAACAGTGTAATTCTATGACAGTTCTAAGGCATAGTATTAACAGTGTAAATCTGTGACAGATTGGCTTACTCCTCAGAATCAGATGCAGATTTCCAGTAATTTTCCAACTTCTTCTTTGATATTTCATCCAGCCTGTTGTAGACCTCATACATGTGCAACTGAAGGTATGTATCTTTGTCCTCCTTTTTTTGTTGGCTGCTTCATCTTCGCTTTGGCTTGCTCTTTTTCGGCCTTTCTTATGTGCTTCGGGGTATGTGTAATCTGGTTTCTTTGCAGGCTTTCTGTCTTTTCTGTCTTTGATTATTTTGATGCCAGAACGCAACGGCCGTGTTCCTACTTCTTTTGCTTGCATGATAACTAACTTTTCAGGAGTTTTTCCATCGGCGTTCTCATCTTCATCATTAGGAGATTCTTGCATCTCCAATTCACTTTCTTCTGCTATTCTCTCATCTTTTTTCTCCTTATCAGCTTGTTCTTTCATCGGAATTTCTCCTTGTTCACCTTGTTTGATTTTTTTTCCCATCACTTGTTGCAAAGAGGCAATAACAGTGTCTTTTTCTTTCATGCTCTCAATGCAGGACAACTTTTCCCCTTCAAGTAGTTCATGTTGTTCCTGTAGCTGTCTCCTATTTGATTTGAGTGCATGCAGTTCCCCTTGTAATTTTGCACCTTCTTTTTTCTCTTGCTCAAGCTGCTTTTTCAGTATTTCAATTTGTTGCTCCAACTCTTCTTTTTCAGTCCATATTTGTTGAATGAATGAATTTTTCTTTATGCAGGATTCTATAGCAGTCTGCATCATATCCCTTCGAGTATCTGCCTTTTCAATCCAATAGTCGACTGCTTCTTTCAGCTGTTGGATTTTCTCATGGGTAGGGGCTATTTCATGCTTGTAGTACTCTGGGATTGACCCCACTATGTCCACAAAAATGGAGTCGAAGTCTTCTTCTTGGCTGTCAAGTTCTGGGTTCTGTTGCTGGACATTAACAGTGTCCTCCTCCGTCACTGAGTCTGCACTAAGGTCAACTGCTTGTTCTTCAATTTCATCATCTGCTTCGCATTCCAATGATTGTGCTGGTGGTTCTTCAATTTCATCATCTGCTTTGCATCCCAATGATTGTGCATTGTCTTCATTTTGCTCCTGTTGTGGAGTTTTTGTCTGGGTTGCACTTTGGTCCACATTTTCATGGAAGCTGAAGTTCTGTTTCTGGGTAATAACAGTCTGGCTTTTTCCTTTTTGTGTTTGACTCTTTAACTGTCACAAATATTAGAAAGGAAAAAAAAAGTATTAGCAAATTTATATACATGTATATGTGTTTGTACACTATCAATTCAGTTTTGAAATATAAATGTTGGATCATTGTAGGTTATCTTACCCAATCTTTAAGTGTGATAACAAAGTCATCATCCTCTTCATTTTCTTCTTGTTCTTCATGGTCTGCATGATCAGTCTTTGTTGCTTCTTCTTTTTCATTGTCAGCAGCTTTTATCTGTTGAATTATTGGAGTCAGTAGTAATTATGGTGTACTAACATTATATATGTTTATGGAAGTAAGAAAAATGCCTTAATGTTTTCATATGTTGCAATATTCAGCTTGATATTGAGCTCCGGAAGGCTCCATTTGACAGCCGCTGGTTTGTGATCTTCTCTTCCAGGAATTGGACTGATCAGGTTAGTTCTTTCACACAGCCAATACTGCAAACATGTTTTTCAATATAAAGTGTTAATGCACATGAAAACAAATAATATAACAGGATTAACAAATGGATGTAGTTTCTTACCAGGATTAGCACAAGGCAACCACTGACGCTTGGTTGATTTGTCTTGTCCTTTTTATTTTTTATGGCTTGGTCCAGTCCATAATGCATGTAATCTAAGACTCCTTGTGCCCAGTTGTAGCTGTTCATAGCTTCTAATGTGTCGATCATAGTCAAAAAGGTCCAAGCCATTGTCGCCCCAGAGTTGCAAAAGAGATTTGTGATGAAGAGCTCTAGGATTAACAACCTGACAACATCCATTGCATTCTTCTTTCTGTCATCTGCTATTGCTGTGTTCAGACACCTATCAATCTCAGTTTTTGTGATTTTTTTTGACTTCTCGAAGTACTTCTTTTCGAAGGCCAAATTTGTTCTTGTGGAAGTTGTTGTGCTTGGCAACTTGTTTCCTTTGTTTGGCAATCCAAAGATGTCAGACACATCATTGCTTGTAATTTCATGCTCGTTGCCTTCACTGAATTTGAATTTTTTGGTTGCGGGGTTGTAGAGTCTGATTAGTTTAATTATTTGATAATTAGACTTCTGGCATTCTACCTTGGTTAACTGACCTTCCATGTAAGCCTTGATGATGCTCCAGAATGGCGTTTTTTGTAGGATCTTGAGGACATCCTTTCTTGCTGCAAGCTTGTCTTTTACCGTTTGCAATGTGTTGTCAAATGTGAGCATGTTGCTCTTGATCTGCACATAATCTGGGTTATTGCGTCTGTTTGGTTGAGGTTTTTGTGTTTGGGATTGTGTTTTTTTTGTCTTCGTTGTTTTCTTTGGTTTCAGTGTGTTTGCGGATTTGGGTGTGGATAGTTTGGCTTTTGCTGTTGTTGGTGGTGTGCCTTGTGTGTTTCTTGATGCTGTTTTGTGCTTTTGCTGGCTTGTGATCCTTTTGTATGCTTTTTTTTTGAATTTCAACCCGGTTACCTTTTTCCATATGACCACCTGCAAAGTGAAACAAATAGGTTACTTTAACTAAACAAAAGAAAGATGAAACATAAGTATTAATACTTCTATGACATGGTATTAACCATTTACTTCTATGCATTTGAACCTCATGCTTCTCTTTTTTAGTGCACTACGATTTTTTTTCATATACATTTCTAGTGCATGTTGCACTAGAAGAGCAAGATGCATAGAAGTCCCAGATTTTGATTAACAAAGGATGCTACATATTTTGGTCTTCAAGTGCACTGCTTTGCAGTGCACTAGAAGAGCAAGATACATAGCATGCTATATATTTTTGGTCTTCAAGTGCACTGCAAAGCAGTGCACTAGAAGAGAAAGATGCATAGCAGTCACAGATTTTGATTAACAAAGGATGCTATATATTTTGGTCTTCAAGTGCACTGCTTCGCAGTGCACTAGAAGAGCAAGATGCATGGTATTAACAGTTGTGACATGGTATTAACAGTTCAAGTTCTATGACATGGTATGAACAGTTGTGAAACGTATACATTTGCAGTCGAAACATGCGTCTTTTCAAAACATTGCTATTGGACTTTGACGTTAAGAGATTTTGTAATACCTGGGAGTCTGATAGTGATGCTTTGTCAGCCATTTGTGAAGAATCTTGAGTGTTTGTTTCTGTCATTGTTGGACCTTTTCGTTGGTTACCTGTATTAAACGTGGTACTCTTGCATTAGTTAGCAGAATCTTAAGACGAAAGTGGAAAGTCATTGTGGGTTTTTGAGATTGTACCTTTCTGTCGATGTTTATGGAAGAAATTTTCTTCCCTTTTTCCTGGTTGTCCTTGTGCTCAGTTGCTTTTGTAGTGTCGATTTTGAAGACTTTTGGCTATGGCAGAATATAACTTCGATTCGCCGGCTTTCTCGTTATGGAGTTTGTCGTTGATTGGTGGTTATGGAGGTTGTCTCCTGCCTGGTGGTTATGGAGGTTTTCGCCTGCTTTTGGAGTGGGTCGCGTCGCAAAGATCGGAGTGAGAGGGTGAGTGGGTTTTTCGCTTTTTGGGTGCGTGCGTGTACTCTGCGTTGAGATATTTTCTTTTTTTTCAATGGGCTTAGTGAAATTGGGCTTTATTGGCTTGTTGAGTTTTCTGGGCTCTTTTTTTGGTTTGTTTGGGCTTTTTTTTGTCAAATCAGACTGGGCCTTTTTTCTGTATTTTTCTATGGCTTGGTTGATTTGTTTTGGGCTTTACTTCGTTTCTGACCTTGATTTTCTCAACTTGGGCTGGGCTTTTGAAAGTCACTGTTAATACGCATTTTGAACACTGTTAATTCGCAGTTTGAAATATAGAAGCAGCTATAGAGTAACAATTTTTTACATTTGAATCTCACTACACAGTAACTATTTGACATTTGAAAGTTAAGAAGCATCAAAAGATTTTGGTTAGAAGCTACATATTAACAATTTGACATTTGGAAGTTAGAAGCCGAACATTTACTATTTTATAGTTCTAAAATTTGTGAAATCCATGCTTTCATCCTTCATTCTCTTTTGTGAAATACCAACTTTTTTCACTTTCCATTGTCTTCAATAAAACTTCTTTTCTCATTTCCCACACATGCTCTGTACTCAAGCTTTCTTCAATTTGTTTTCCTTGTGACAACTTCTGCATGTAGTACATGACAAATACTCCACAATCGTTTCTGCAAATTCACACACACACACACACATATATATATGCAACATTTAGTGAATCATAGTTTAATTTGAATTGGGGGAAGAAAAGTGTTATTGTGAAACTTACGACTTTTCAGGTTGTTGGGCGCATTCCCTGTCCTCCTTAAAGTTGAATTTGGTGGGATCATGTTTCATCAGATATTGTATTGTTTGAGCAATTGCTGGTGTAACTTTCAGGTTTCGAAGAAGTTTTGCAATCTCGTCGGTCAATTCTTCATTGTAGACGGGCTTCTTGAACTCAAGAAGTGGGAAGCTGTTTTTTTCTAAAATTGTTGGAGCACATTCCTTGACGCTATTGAGGAAGACATTTGTTGCGTCTGCCTGCATTGTAGGCAAGTATGTTGTTAGCTTCACTGATTAACTGTTTTGTTCATGCCTTGTATTAACAGTTCATAGTAGGAGTCTGTCTTACCAAAATTATTGCTTTTTTGTTGTAGTATTCAACGGTTTGCTCAGTTTCCCCCCTCAATGAGTTGTAGTGCGTCCATTGCAATGAATTGGTGTCGAAGACAAGCAGGGTGTGGTGTCCGCCATCCGTTATTGGTATGAACACCTTTGAAGTTTTCCCTATGCATTCAAGGAGTTTGACAAAATATTCATCGAATGTTCTTGGGTGCATTTTATCTGTGAGATACCTCTGCAAAATTAATAGTTTCGGCATTAGAGAGAATGTGAAAAGTATAGGAAGATGAATAATTTGTGATTTTTACTAGAAGTAATGGGATAGCTATGATCTTACGTATGCGTAGCACGTGATGTATGCATTCTGTTGTCTTTTAGGGTCCTTCTTTTCATCATGATGAAGTATCTCGGCATACGCATCTATGATTTGTCCATAAATTTCAGTATCTCCTAATAAGCTTTGTATGTCATCTTTGAACAAAATGCTTGTCCCTTGCCAAAAAGCAGTGCTGTAACAGTATTTGTAGTCAGAAAAAATGGCAATAAAATTGAAAGAACTGTTCAATAAAGTTCCAGTATAGGGTAATAATACTGCTTGTTTCCTAAAAAACCTTTTTCTAACGCATGTCTACCATTGTAAAGTTCCAGTATAGGGTAATAACACTGCTTGTATCCTATGAAATCCTACATCTAATGCATGTCTATCACTGCAAAGTTCCAATATAGGGTAATAACACTGCTAGATTCCTCTGAAATCCTATAACTAATGCATGTCTACCCCCTGTAAAGTTCTAGTATAGGGTAATAACACAATGAAATCCTATTTTCTAATGCATGTTCAATAATAGCATCTTGCATTGAAAATGAATGAAACACATTGCCTTACCCATCAACTGAATTTTTCCAGTAATTTCTCAGCTTTTCTTGTGAGAGTTCATCCAGCATGTTGTAGACCTGATATGTATTCCATTGCAGGAATGAACCTTTGGCCCTCTTCTTTGATTTGGCTGGTTTTTTTTGTGCCTTTCTCTTTTGTGCTCTCGTCTCTGCTTTAGGGAATGAGGAATCTGGTTTTCTTGATTTTATCTTTTCTGCTTCACCTTCTTTCTTTTCTTCTTTATCCTCTTCACTCTGCAGTTCTTGCGCTAATTTTTGATCTCTCAACGAGACAATAACAGCTTCCTTTTCATTAATAATGTCCAAGTAGGAAATCTTCTCTGCAAGAAGTTGATCATTTTCTAGCTGCAGCTTTGTCATGTAGGATTTTTCCTGATGAACATCTAATTGTATGACTTTCTTGTGATGTGCTGCTTCCTTAACCATCTTCTGCAGTTGCTGCTGATGCTTCAATAATTCTTCTTTTTCATTGTACAGCATCTGAATCAATTTATTCTTTTTAATGCAAGATGCTATTGCATCACGGATCTTTTGATGCTCTCCTTTCTTCGTCCAATATTCAGCAGCATTATTGATCGCCATCATATACTCTTTTGTAAGCTGTATTTCATCCTCCTTGTATTCTGGTACTGATCTAACAATTTCCTCAAACAACGTTGAATTCCGGTATTCTGGGATTTCATTTTGGAGGTCTTCTTGTACCTGGTGGTGTTGCTGGACTTGATGTTCAGCAGCATCATCATGGTCTCCATTCACTTCAGCATCCTCCTCCTCTTCATTTTCTTCTTCAGCAGCATCACCATGCTCTTCATTCACCTCTTCAGCAGCATCATCCTTGTCTTCACTCACTTCTTCACCAGCATCATCATCATGCTCTTCATTCACTTCTTCAGCACCATCATCCTCCTCTTCATTCTCTTCTTCAGAATCATCATCATTCTCTTCATTCTCTTCTTCAGAATCATCATCTGGCTCTTGAGCTTTAGTGCTTTTTATCTGTTTGTTGAGTAGAGTTAGTATTAAGAGTGCACTTCTATGACATGGTATTAAGAGTGTAATTCTATGACATGGTTTTAATAGTGTACTTCTATGAAATGGTATTCATAGTTTACCTCTGTGACATGGTATTCATAGTTTACTTCTATGACATGGTATTAACAAGTATGTACATGACATGGTATTAACAATGTTGTCATATCAGCTGCAGATTATTTGAGAGGAAAGAGTACCTTTATCTGGTTGTTCTTTAGATGATGAAGCTTCGCGCTGAGTTCTTGAAGACTCCATTTGACAGCAGCTGGTGTCATTTGTTCTCTTCCAGGAATTGGAGTGAGCAGGTTAGATCTTTGACACAGCCAATACTGCACAATATTTTTTTGAAATATCACGTGTCAATTCATATCATTAGAATAATGCTACGAATTTGCAGTTTGGAGATTTGTGTTCTTACCAGTATTAGGATTAGGCAGCCACTCACGCTTGGCTGCTTTTTTTTGTCCTTCTTGTTCTTCTTTGCTTGTTCTAATCCAAAATACATGTAGTCCAAAACTCCTCGAGCCCAATTATATTTCCCCATCTCTTCTAAGGTGTCTATTGTGGTTGTATATGTCCAAGCAAGTGTACAACCAGAGTTGCAGAATAGATTGGTCATGAAGAGTTGTAGGATTATCAATCTTGTTACATCCATAGCACCCTCTTCTGTTTCATCTTCAAGTGCCAAATTCAAGCACTTATCAATTGAAGTCTTTGTTATCTTCTTATACCGCGCGAAGTATTTCTCTACAAACTGCAATTTTGGCCTTGTTGAGGTTGTTGTGCTTGGTAACTTCTTGCCACTGTTTGGCAAGCCAAAAATTTCAGCCACATCATTGCTTTTCATCTCGCTGTCAACATCATTAAACTTGAACTTCTTTGTCTTTGTGTCATAAACTTGTATGAGTCTCACAATGTCGTAGTTAGACTTCATGCACTCTACCTTTGTTAACCTTCTCTGGATATATGCTTCTATTAATGCCCAAAAAGGTGTCTTTGATAGCAGTGTTAAGACATCGTGCCGACGTTCAAGTCTCTGTCTGATGTTGTCAATTGTTGTTGCAAAAGAGAGCATGTTGCTCTTGATCTGCACATAATTTGGGTCCTCCCATCTGGTAGGCTTCTTGTTTGTTGTTGTTTTGGATGATGACTGTTGGCCTTTTGTTTTGGAGTTTCTTCTGGCTCTTTCTTTCTTCATCTTTTAATTGGTATACCTGCATTAGAAATAGGAACACGACAGTAAAGTATCGGTGTTAATACCCCATACTGGAACTTGACAGAGGTAGACATGCCTTAGAAATAGTATTTCATAGGGAACAATCAGTGTTATTACCATATACTGGAACTTGACAGAGGTAGACATGCCTTAGAGACAGTATTTCATAGGGAACAATCAGTGTTATTACCATATACTGGAACTTGACAGTGGTAGACATGCCTTAGAAATAGTATTTCATAGGGAACAATCAGTGTTATTACCATATACTGGAACTTGACAGTGGTAGACATGCCTTAGAGATAGTATTTCATAGGGAACAATCAGTGTTTTACCATATACTATACTGGAACTTGACAGTGGTAGACATGCCTTAGAGATAGTATTTCATAGGGAACAATCAG